ACTGGGGCTGCTCCAATGTTGGAGCTTTGTTGGAGGCGAGAAATGGCATATCGGCTCATCACGAGAGATCGATGCTGGCAAACACGAAATCGATGAAAGTTTGCACAATTGTTGAACCCGAGGAGGTTATTGCCTGGGATCGCACGCTGCAGGTTGATCGACGCCTTCGCTTGAAGCAGAGAACATCCCAAACGTGACGCGTGCCATTCATAACGACTGCCCCTAGGACCACGTAGCGCTGGTGAGCCTTTCTGAGACGAATGCGACTCGTACAGAGCGCGCCGGATACGTCGATAGTTGTGGCATGCACGGTGTGGTTAGGGCTGCAAAGCATCAAGCAAAGTTGCCTCGTTTTCATGTCATTGAGCGCGATCCCAGTGGTGCCTGAGTGCACTGCTTTCACCATACATTTCGTGGTATCATTCAAACCGACGAGGCCTTTCTACACTATCGTGTAGAATCGTCGTCGGTCCGACACACACCCTGCCGAAATGCTGACCGACGATTCGGTACGACCCAACGTCGAGATATAGAGTGTTCCATATATATATATGAATGTGTTCCGCGTTACTCCCGTGGTAAACCCCACTCGCCGAGTCATAGCTCGCGCGAGGTCGTACGCAGGCTCCTGGACTCGGACCACCCGACAGAAGAGTGCAATATCTAACATGAATGCATATGGTCCACAGGGTGTAGGCCCGACTGCTCCGAGCCTAGATTGTGGCGAGATATGCCGCTTGCTGGCTCATTGCGCTGTAGCTGCTCAACACTACAGTATAAATGTACTCGAATCGATCGACAAGCTCGTGCTAAAGATCAAATAATGATGGAGGATCGCAATCCTCCGAATAAAAGAGCACCGCGCAATAAAAGAACACGAAGGGATTAAAAGAATGCTCAAAGGGATTAAAAGAATGCTCGTTGGGCCGTTCTTTTATGCCTGGTTGCATTTTTATGCACCCACCGTTCCAATTGAAACACATAGCATGCTGCAGCACGGCAACCGTCGGGCGCTCTGGACGTCCATGGGCGCATCATGGGTCCGCGCGTCGACGGGCGTGCTCCAGAAGCTCCTCGCCAAGGACCCGCCGACGCCGCCGCCAAGCGTGCTCGCGGCCAAGAAGGCGGCGCGGCTCCAGGACGCGCTCTGGAAGCCGGCGCTCGAGTTTCCTGCGTCGGCGCTGGACCGCGACAAGCGGTCGCTGAACCACTCGCTGCAGGTGCTCGAGCGTCTCACGCTGCGCACGCTCGCCCACGTCTTGCAGCCGACGCCATTGGCCGTGCTCGGGTCGTGCTGCACGCTCGTGCTGGGCATCGGCGGCCTCGAAGCCGCGTACCTTCTCGACGACTCGTACTTGCACGCGTATCGCCAGCATGACAACTACGCAATAGCGTTTATGGTCGAGTATGCGTACGAGAACTTTGCGTCGAGCTGCATCTGGGACACAAAGCCGCCGGCGTTGGTTGCGCGGGCGCTGGGGTTGGACCCACACGAGGTTCCTTGTTCTTTCTCACCTCGTATTTGTGCTCATACAGCGGTAGATCCTGCACGAGTTTGCCGATACGCCCGACGACGCGCAGCGCATGCTGACGATCCTCGGTCTGCGCACCCAACGCGCGCTCGTTGCGGGCTTCATGCTGATCGCCCAGGTAGAGACCTTCCTGTCGGATGCCATCGCTACCAACATGCTCATTATGCGTAGGGGCTTGGCATCATGGGCGGGGCCATGCGTGTCTCGCGCGACTACTCGAAGAACGTGTGCTCGGGCAAGGAGCCGCCGCTGCACGGCGTCAAAGAGCGCATCATTCGCCTCACGGGCACGGCCAGCGACGCAACCGAGGTGTCGATGGCCCGGTACGGTGCCCACATGCTGCCCGTCTTCAAGGACCCCCACAAGTAGACTATGCGTTGTCTCATCTAGCGACGACACTGTACTGTGTATGGTTCTTAGGATGCGCTACCTCATCTCGCTGTGGTCGCACAATGGCAAGTTTCCGTGTGTCTGGCATGTGCCCGGCGGCAAGTACGGATTTCGCCACTCGTGGACAGGCCTGCGCATCGACAAGCGCTATATGCTCAAGACGACGACCGGGAAGCTCATTTTGACGATGGAAGCCGACGTCACTCGCGCCGAAGAAGCCTTCCACCTCATGCCCAGCACGCAACCCGATCTGAGCATTGAAGAGGCGTCGCAGGGCTTTCGCTTGATCGAGCGAGCGGCCGCCGCGCGGATCGAGCGCCCGTTTCGGTCGCTGCGCGTCATCCTCGGGGACTCGCTCCAAGTGGAGCAGCAAGTGCCACTGCGTGCGCGCTTGGACGCCAAGAACGAGTGCGACGTGTTCATTGACGCCAAGGCCATCGTGATGCTTGCCTTGCTGAAGTGGGCTCACAAACTGCCACGTACGTCGTGTCATCACCCTAAGAACAGAGTGGCGACAGAGTGTGTAGAAGACGCAACCATTGTGATTGATTCGTCGCCCGAGCACTACGCGTACATGGCGCATCTTTTGGCTGCAAAAGGCCACGCGACGATGCCGCAGTCGGAAGCCGCGGCCCTGACGCACGTCAAGACGGAAGCCTGGCCGCACCTTGTGTATCTCTCATCGACATCGGCGACGATCAACGCCTTGCAGACGCTCATCCAGAGCAACCGCGCCGACCCGACCCAGTGCTGCGCGCTCCTCAACAAGTACTCTCGTTTGTAGGAGGGATAGGGTTATGCGACATGTGTCTAGTGCCTACGGTCTCGATCACTTGCGGGAAATCGCGCTCTACGAAGACACGCGGATTGGCTCGATTTGCGCGGCCGAGCTCCACGACGACTATTTTCGACAGGTGCTCCTCTTACTGTCGTATATTGTTTATTCTTCGGTATTATTGAAACTATATTGTACTAGGTTCGTATTTGGACGCGCATGGGGCACTCGGCGAGTGCGATCCAAGCCGAGCTCGACACGCGCTTTGCCGAAGTACTCGCCATCAAGCAGTCGACACTGGAGAGCGTACCACGAACAGCAAGCCATGATGTCTCTACGATCGCAAGCACCGAACCCTAAGCTAGCTAATGACATATGTAACTCGTATGCCCACCGTCTCGCATAGGCAGGAAAATGAGATACCCTTTTCTCAACAACCTTTCACAAATTGAAGCCAATTGATGCCACTCGAATGCATGAAAGAGCTCGTTTTGTGTTGAATGTTACCCTATTTTGCGGGCTCGATGTATTATAATACGTAAAATGGGGATCATAAAGTTTACGTACACGATATACAAAGAAAGAGGAGAAAGAGGTTAAAAGGTCTTCAGCACGTTGACAGAGGTGGAGCCTGGCTTTCAAGTGCAGTGATGCGGCTTGAGTTGCTCGTGCTGCCTTTCAACCAATCAGGCGAAGCTTTTGATGAAAAAGCCATAGATTACGGTGTATTTCGACCAGTAGCCGCCTTAAAGCACATAAGAAGGCGCTTGGATTGGCTAAAATTCACGCAGATATCATCACCACGACTGAGCTCCGCGATTGATTTTAGATATCCCGCGATTTTTCGTAGGAAGCCCGATGGGCCGGACTGGAATCGAATCTAGAATCTAGAATCTAGAAGCCATCGTGCGATTGAGTCGATGGCCGCATGCTTGCGAACAGCGCTATCACGACAATAGCCCAGCGTCACTGCGCTGTCGTTGTTGCTGTTAACGTCTACGTGTCTAGGAGACGAATCGTGTCAGCCGTTGGGAAGTGACATTGGTCAAAGCCTAGTCATGCTCGTAGTGGTTTAGTAGAGTGGCTTATCTCTCGCCTAAGTGCTGTAGACAAGTCGATTCGACTAGCTTCACGCACTTTCGATTGAACCATCAACTCTAGTCTCAAAACTCGATTCGTTGCCTTGTAGATGACATCCAAAGTACACACCATGCATCGGTTGAGTCATGGGTCATGGTTGAGTGTAGATTCAACACAATTGGCACCCATTTTGACTTTGACCCGTGGTTGAGTGTCGATTCAACTCACGTGGCACCCATTTTGACTTTGAAAGTAACGAAGGGCTTTCTACGACATGTGTGTGTCTAGGATATCATTTCGACGTGTTGATATATATGCACCCATGACTCTGATCGTATATCGCTTTGGTTCTTCTCGCACGAGTTTTGTCAGCAAGATCGCGAAGGATACGCGCTGCAACGCTTCGCAACGTCATCGTTCTCCGCCGCAACGTTTCAATGGTCGTCATGGGATTGGCGGAAAAACGATCTTGTGCGGAAATATCCGCCAATGGCATCCGACTTTGCATTGCAAGCGTCGGCGAGCCGGTCATTCTCGTCGCGGCGACCTCCATGCACAGTGGCAAGGTGACGCCACGGAACGAGCCGTCGGGCTTTGACACGGTCGACCTCGGGCTACCGCCGGCCTTGCGCCCGTCGACCGACTCGGGCAACCTACCGGCGCCGCCCGCGCTCAAGTCGATCCTTCTCGCGCCGTTCACGTGGCTGCGCGCGTCGTCGTCCAAGACGCTCTCGGGTCGCGTCGCGCCCGACCGCCTCTCGAGCCGCAAGAGCATCGCGAGCCAGCACTCGTCGCAGTTGATGCGCTGGGACTTTGACGCAGGCCTCGAGACCAACCATTTGCGGCAAATGGATAACCTCCAGACCATCTTTGGCATCGTCGGGGCCTACGCCGCCCTCGACGTCTCGTTCGACGCGCTCAACCTCTTTATGAACGACGTCAAGCTCGGGTACGTCGAGGCACCGGACCTGCCGTTCCACCGCTACTACCACAACTTTACCCACGCCATGGACGTCACCCAGACGCTCTTTGCGATGCTGCACTTTATCGAGCCATTGGACCCGATCCTCGGGCCGGTCGAGAAAGCCATCACGCTCATTGCCGCGCTTGGTCACGACATCCACCACCCCGGCGTCACCAACCACTACATCGTCGTCGCCAAGCATGCGTATGCACTCGAATATGGCGACGGGTCGGCCTCGGCGCTCGCCACGACCAGCGTCAAGGTCTGGGGCGTGCTCGAGCGCATGCATGCCGCCGAGACGCGGCGACTCGTGACCAAACACCGGCTCCTGGGCCAGTTCCGGCCAACGACCCAAGTGCAGCTCGAGAAGCTCTTGATGGCGTGCATTCTCAATACCGACATGGCGCAGCACGATGGCTTACTCAAGCATATGCAGTCGCTCGTACACGCCCGACAGAGTCCGTTATGCGCCGACGACACGCGCGTGCTCTGCTCGTTCTTTTTGCATTGCGCCGACTTGAGTAATGCGGCCAAGCCATGGAAGACTGCCGAGCGCTGGGCGTCCCTCATCACCCAGTACTTCTATCGTTTTGTATCAAGGTTTCAACCCAAAATGGTATAGAGAGTTTTTCGAGCAAGGCCAAGCCGAGAAGCGACGCGGCATGCCGGTCTCGCCCAACTGCGACGCAACCACGACCATGGTGCCGGAGCTCCAAATCAAATTCATCAACTTTGCGGTCCTCCCGTGCTTTACAATTCTGCAAGCGCTCTTTCCATTGGCGGCCGAGACGGTGACGCACGCCTTGACCAACATCCGTCACTGGGAAGCCAAGCGGGAAGACGAGCTCACCCTCGAGCAGCGCGTCATCATTCGAGCGATCGCAGTCGAGACCAACCTAACGGCTGAGTGGACGAAAATGCAAGAGCAAAAGGACTCGGGCGACGCGTCGCTTCATCGCCGCGAGTACGTCTGGGCCAAGCGGCTTTGCTACCACCCGGCGTACCTTGTGTCGTTGGCACTGGTCTCCATCTACCTCGTGATCGAGCCCAGCGTGCGCGAGATGGCCACGTCCCACGCCGCCGACATGGCCCTCAATGCATTCTTGCTCACTTTGCTTGTGGTCGTGCTGGCCGATATGACGCTAACCGCGCTCGCCGACCACATGTATTGTGGCAGCTTTTTCAGCTTTTTGGACATCGCAACTGCGATTTCCATTGTGCTTGAAGTGTGCAATTATGGGCCGCACGCGACCTACAACATTTGCTTTGGAATCGTCTTGCCCGAATTGCTGCAGCCGCGGATTGTGCGCGTCGCAAGAGTCCTCCGCGCGGTCCACGCCGTGCCGCTGCTTCTCTTCCGCCTCTTTGCCCATGCACCGCCGTCGACACCGTCCGTTGCTGCGTCCGAGACAGCGTCCGACGTCGACGACGACCGATCGACACCGATGGCGTTCTCGCGGCGGGACATTGCCCGGCTCTTTACACGGCTTGCGTCACGGACGTCCGATGTGGTCCGGCCCGCGGCGATCGAGCGGCTCGTCGCCGAGGCGTACAACGGGATCGACGTGCCGCCCCACGCAGCCCGCAATGTGCTTGCGTACTTCACGCCGTCGCATGCGAGCAAGTCGTCGTTCGTCGAGTTTGCCCATGCGCGGTCCGCGCCCCGCATCGGCATTTCACGCGGGTCGTTTGCTCGTGGCATTCGCCATATGGAGCTCAAGCACGACGGCGCCCCCGACTTGTTTATGGATGCGGCGCCGCGGCCCGCGGCCGAGCGCATGGTATGCATGTATCAATCTATCAATGTATCAAGTTGCAACATGAATGGCTAGGTTGGCCGGGAACTCAGCGACATTGTCATCAAGCGTATTCTGGTGTTGGTGCTCTTGGTTTTGATTGTGGTGCCGCCGCTGATCTGGGAAGCTGACGCTGACCGAGACGTCTACTCGTACAGCCTCGAGAGTCTGCATGCGAGTGCCTTGACCAACGCGTCCGCGTCGGTGCTCCAGGCCGACTTGGCGTTGTTCGTGACGACCTTGACGCCGATATTTCTTCAGCTGTACAACGTCTCGGCGGCAACGATCGAGTCGTCGACCAACGGTGTGCTTGCGACCAACGATGCAACCTTGCTGGCGCAGTATCGGTACGACCAGCTCGAGAGCGTCCAAGTCTTTGGCTGCGACCCGTCTTTGCTCGTCACGACCCTCTCGACGCGCACTGCATCGCCCGGCGAGTGTCTCTCGACTGCGCTCTTTGACGTGACGGCATCCCGCGTGCAGTCGGCGCAATGGAGCGCGCTGAGCACGCTGCTCTGCTTTCTCTGCGTCATGGTGTCGGTGCTGTACCTCGACTACGAGACCTATACCACTGTGATCCACCCGATCGAGAGCATGCTTCATGTCGTCCAGCGTCTCGCAATCAACCCGCTTCGTTCGATTCCATGCTTGGCCGGCGAAGCTTCAAATGAGATCTTACTGCTCCAGAACACACTGGCGAAAATCGCGTCTTTGATTCAAATTGGGTTTGGCGAAGCCGGCGCCGAGATTCTCTCGGGCAACATGCTCGAAGGCGACCTCAACCCGATGGCCGAAGGCAAAAAGGTCTATGCGATCTTTGGCTTTTGCAGCATCCGGGACTTTGCCGATGCGACCGAGAAGCTCAAGGAAGAGATCATGACGTTCACAAACCTCATTGGTGATGTCGTCCACCGGCACGTCCACGCGCTCAACGGCCATGCCAACAAGAACATTGGCCAAGCCTTTCTATTGGTGTGGAAGGTGCCCGCGACGTCGATCGAATATGCTCTTGTCAACGGCAATCAAACACCGCAGCACATGTCGCCCAAGAAGAACTCGTTACTGACCGTCATGGAGAGCGACAACATGCGGCAGCGCGGCAAGCTCACGATCGCCGACAAGGCGCTCATCTCGTTCTTGAAAGTCCAGCTCGAAATGCACGATGCCGAGTCGCTCAAGGCCTATGCCCATGTTTTGCCCAAGGACCATCCAATGGGGTTTGGGTTGCACGTGGGCTGGGCCATTGAGGGCGCGATCGGGTCGCGCTACAAGATTGACGCATCGTACTTGAGCCCGGACGTCAACATGTCGTCGCGTCTCGAAGGGGCGACCAAGCAGTTTGGCGTCACGCTGCTCGTGTCCCATACCTTTCACAAACTGCTTTCGGCGCCGGTCCAAGCCATGTGCCGACTGATTGACTGCGTGACGGTCAAGGGCAGCGAGAAGCCGCTCTCGCTCTACACGTTTGACATCTACGACGACCTTGGCGCCCACGCAACGAACGCGCTCAGCTGCGTTGACGACCTCCAGAAGCTCCAAGCGCGCATGCCGGTTGAGTTTCGCATTGCGTTCGACTCGGGTGTCGCCAAGTATTTGGAAGGCAACTGGCCAGAAGCGACGCTGCAGATTGAACACGCGCTCTGTTTTGCGCCGACCGATGGACCGTCGAAAGCGCTGCTGCGGGTCATGGCCGAGCACCACGGCCAAGCGCCGAGTGCCTGGCAGGGCTACCGCGCCTTGACCGAAAAATAGGTCGAGAAATCAAGATAGAATGCAACATTAGATCGCACTCGACATCGACGAGACAACGATATGCGCTGTATGGAACCGAAGGGGTTGTCGACGACCCTGCTGTCGGTGTGAAGGCGCATGGGTCGCGCCAAAGAAAAAGCTGCCGGTTGATGGGCTCGAAGCGGCGCCGTCGTTTCCAACACTGTTTCCAACACTGTTTAAAACCAGGTTTCAAACATCCACAACCATCATCCGGATATGGACAATGGTATCCGGATTGTGGCGGACCTTTGCGCCAGCGGCCATTTCGGCGGCGACGGCTTGGGACCGACCGGACCGACCTGCTGCCTCGCACCGTCGCGAGCCCTCGCCTTGCATGTTCCCGCCTGGTCTCCTCACGCCCAAGGGCCTTGCCAAGCCCGCGCCCGACAATAACTTGCCCGACATGCTCTGGTTCGATACCTGCATCCATCCCGATAGTACGAGCTGCGACGATGGCAGGACACGACGAGATTGACGACGCGCTGTGTCTTAGACGTGATCGATGCCAAGGACCATATGCCCGAGTACGAGTACAATGTGACGGGCATGAAGCGCGTCAAGAAGCGCGACCGTATCCAGCTGGGCACGCCCGTTGTCGTCAACGAGAAGGCGATTGCGCTCTTTCGCCATGGCAAGCGGCTCTTTGCGATCCAGCAGATGTGCCCGCACGCGGGCGGCAACCTTGCCCTGGGCGACATTGAAGAGATCGACCGCATGCTGTGCATCTCGTGCCCGCGCCACAAGTGGCCGTTCGTGCTGCTGTCCGGCGACTGCCTCGTCACCGAAGACATTCGCGCCGAGCAATACCCGGTCGAGGTGCGGAAATCGAACGGGCTCCTCTCTATCTTTGTGGGCTTTACGGGCCTGAATCAAACGCTCTTTTACCAAGACGATTTTTAACTCGAATTATTGTACTCTATACACATTGCACATTGCCAACCTCCCCCGCCCGGGCACCCCATACTGTAGGCCATCAAGGGCACGTTGCCGATCGTCTTGGACCGCGACCTCCAGTCGCTGCCGCCGCCTTCGTCATGGGCGTCTCTCGAGGACCTCAAGAAACTGCGTAGCTTTGCCAGTGATGGCGAAGCCTGGAGCGTGTCGTCATGAGCTTCATCGAAGCCACAAGCGCCTCCGGGCGACTACATAAGAGCAAGACGCGCCGCCGCCACCGCCCGGCGAGCAAAGGCAGAAGAAGGAGATTGCGAATTTCTACGCAGTGCTATACCTCAATTCGACGAGCTGTCGCCTGAAAGGACCAGAAGGGAAAAGCGGGGAGCGGGTCTTCGTCGTCGCTCGTCACGGTCGACGTTCAGCCGACAAACGCACTCAAAGTGCTTCCAACATAGGAGGAAGGGCTCCGCAAGCACGAGCAGCTTGCAGCACCAAGAGGCGCCACGTGCAGGCGTGCACTGTACTACTACTCCAAGCAAACACTGTATTGGACTCTATATGAGCGAGACGCCACGTCGTCTCGCCCAGCACCGTCCACGACGCATCCAGCATCTGAAGCAACGCTTGCTACTGCGACGTACGCTATCCCACATCGACGTTCGAGGTATCGACTCCGCAAAGGCCTTGTTATCCTGGCAGTTGGATTTATCCCACTTGGATCTATCCTAGCGAATATCCGACTGCATGCATACTGATGAGAATGCTGTGGCTCGTTGCGCCACTTTTTACACTACTTCTCACACTTTGCACACTACGTTTCACACTTTTTACACTACTTTGCACACTTTGCACACTACGTTTCACACTTTTCACACTACTTTTCACGCGCATCTCGGTTGCGTGCGATTAGAGGTGGCGGGTCCGGAAATAACCGTACAGTTCCAATTTGCAGCCACCATCAAGGATGGCGCCGGGAGCGAAGCAGGTCTTCCGCGCCTTCAAGCTCCAGGGGCTCACGCTCCATGCGGACGCGCTGAAGCGGCTCCTCCATGAGATGGAGGTGGAGCAAACGCTAGGCCTCGACGACGTCCTCTTCGCCATCAAGAACAGCATCGACCGCTCCAAGCGTCCGCCATCCATCGTCGTCCTGCGCCTCCTCATGCTGCTGCTGCTACTGTAGTCGTCAACAGCGTCGTGACGATCGAAGCGCTCGAGAGCGCGCTCGATACACTCCTGAGCGTCTCGGCCGAGAACGACTACCAGAGCATCCAGGTCTTTGACGCGTTCGAGATGCCGGGCCTCCAATATGAAGCCATGACCAAGACGTACAGCGTCGGCCTCGACCGCCACCGGCGTCTCCATGCGGCGCCCAACTACCGCGTCAACCTGTTCCGCCATCGGTACCTCATTGGCCTTGATGGCGTCGCGCCATGCCATGGATTAGCTTTGCCGCCATTGAGCGCCGCGTCCGCCGCCACAAGACGTTCTCCAAGCCCGTCATGGCCTCGGCCAAGCTCCAGCGCGAGTATCTCGAGGTATAAACACCGAGACGAGAGAGAGCGCGTGCTCATGCATAGAGGAAGCTCACGCGGATCGAGTCGCTTCTCGGTGTCTCTGGCATCAAGCGCGTCCTGGGCATGTTGGGCCAAGACGAACGCAATGCCATGTACCTCGAAGACCTCACGGCGCGCATCTACATCAACACGGACAAGACGGTTGCACTCAATAGCTTATGTGCTTGGGGGCTAAGATGACGTAGGTCTGTGCGCCGGGCATGTACACCTTGAACAGCGTCGTCATCGTCGAGGGCCAAGTCCGCGACGACGTCTTCTACGTCGAGGTAGACGCGATTGTGCTCTTGATTCGTATAGTACACAACCTCTGTGGCTAGTCGATGGGGGGACCGCCACCCGAGTTTCGACTTGACTCACTTGGTATTCTCGGCGGACTCGACCCGCTCGGGATTGAAGTCTCGTCCCAGGTATTCCTCTCCTAGCCTCTTTAGCAATAGAGCAAATGGTGGTTGTAGCAATTGACGCAGATTCGCGCACTTGAGGCGCAGGACGAACTTGCGTCGTTTGTGATCCTCTCGGACGTGCATCTGGACGACCCGCAGGTCATGAAGCGACTCGAGATCCTCTTTGAAGGCTACGCGCCGTTTTGTCCGACGTTGTTTGTGCTCATGGGCAACTTTACCTCGACGCCGGTCGGCCAAGGTACCGATGGTTTCAAGTGCAGCGAACTTGACACGCGCGCGGTTGTAGACGCTATGAGCATTGCCGACTTTAAGGACCTCCTTGACAACCTCGCGAACCTCTTGCTCCAGTTTCCGTCGCTGGTCGCGCACTCGCAGTTCGTGCTTGTGCCTGGCCCCGACGACCCGGGCGCCGCCAAAGTCCTTCCGCGCCACCCGGTTCGTCGCGTGCACCGTCTTGTGTCGTTGCGATGGCGATCGATGTAGCTGCCCAGTATGTGCACCCACGACTTTGTGCGCAAAATCCCGACAGCGACCATGGCCTCCAACCCGTGCCGGTACATATATATACTGCTTGTGCAAGTAGGCGCAACTGTGTATATTAGCATTCGGTACTACACCAAGGATATTGTGATTCTCCGGGACGACCTCCAAGCCAAGATGCGGCGCAACTGTCTCATGCCGCTTGCCGCGCCGGCCGACGACGATGAAGAGCGCACGACCACCGTGAGCCGACAGGTAAGCCGACTTGGCATCGGTTGATACGATCTTGATACAATCTCGATGCTGTAGCTCATCAAGACGGTGATTGATCAAGGTCACTTGTGCCCGCTACCGCTGTCGGCCCAGCCCATTCACTGGGCGTACGACAATGCGTTGCAGTTGTTCCCGCTGCCCGACGTGGTGCTATTGCGAAGGAATGTACAACGCAGCACTGATGTCCTACTTAGATGATTTTGGCCGACAAGACGGATCAGTACCAAGTCGGGTATGCCGGCGTCGCCGCGTTTCATCCGGGTCCGTTCTACGTCGACTACTCGTTCATGCTCTACCGCCCTGCGACATCGGTGACCGAAGTTAGCCGCATCGATT